AGAGAGAGAGAATCATATCTCGCGCGATATCATTGTAACGCGCTGGCATCTCCTCTGTACATTGTCTGCTAAAAGTTCGCAGTGATATCGTTGAAGAAAATGTTTAAGCTCTGATTCTCTAAACTGAAGCGCATAAAAAAGGTTGACAAAGATTCGGTCATATTTCCCATCATTCATTTTCCTCATCTCGCAATAGAGATGCCAAAGTGTGAAAAGCATCATGGTTGAACCTTATATTGATTATATCCCGCACGCGATCGTTATTTATATACGGGGATAATTTTCTCTTAGAATTTATCCTGAAAATCATGATAATTGTATGGTATTGGAAGAATTTTATAAGTTTCTCTGATAATAATATTAATAAAATAATATAATTATATAATATTTTCCACAATAAAACATATTAATATGTACATAATAAATTTTACTATGTAGATAGTAAATTAATCGAACATATTTTATATCTTATTATGGTAGATATTAATCAGAGAAACACTTATAAAATTCTTCTAATTTTTAGGATAAATTCTAAGAAAAAATTCTTTCTACGTGTATAATATTTTATATCATTATTAATATAACAATTTTTACATCTTAACTCTTGGTCGAATATACTTTCCGATTTTTTTAACAATTCGTAAAACCATTTAAAAATCAAAAGTGGAATTTATCAATATTTTTATCGCGGTAAACATTAATTATCAAAACCCTTATACAATAAAATTCTTGCAATATCATATTGTTTTACGACTATCCTGATTTTCAGAATAAATTCAAAGAGAAAATTCTCTCTATCATAAGCAAGGGAGATAGCTACTCGCGCCTTTTCCCGCAACGAAGGAGAAAATCGAACGCTTTAAATCAATGTCGAAATAATAAACGCAAGTCCACGTGAAACGAGAGCTTTCTCACACCGGTACAATCAATAAGACGAACTCTCATCGCTCTCCCGGATCGTCTATTGCACCCAGAATAAAAAAAACCGCTGCGCCAGAATTCCATGTGCGTCACGTTCGCGTTTTGAAATTCGAAGCAGGTTCCGGTTCCTTCCAGGAGTCACATGGAGTCCCAGCCATGACAGCTCGCGACTCATCTCTCTTCGCGGGATTGTTGTTGTCCCATCGACCTCTTCTCTCCTTCTACCTCCGCCTCCGCATTATGATGTAATTCACCACATGTGTCTCGGAGAGATTCTCGGATGTATGGGCTATCCATACCGTGCGTCTCTCGTCGCCTTGAACTTAAAACATCATATATATGTTTCCCGATAGGCCACGTGTGTGTGCGTATATAAACTTGATGCGAGCTCTCGCGTTCCTAACGAGTGTGCACGCTTTGCTCCAGTGGCGTAGAATAAAGTCGTTTAAGGGGATGCTGATCATGACTGTTTTATTGACTTTGAGTTCAAGGGTTTTTCTTTTTGTTGACTGTACAGATTGAAAAATCTTTCTTCATAATTAAAGTACTGATAATAATGAACGGGGACCGCTGTGATTTCATATAAAAGAACAATAAAAGTTAAAAAATTGCAGGTTTTTTATCGGCCTCTTGCATCAGCTCATAACAATAGTTATTTAATACAAAAGTTCTGCAGTTTATTTGTGCACAAAATATGGCGCTCCCAATAGAGATGACATGAAAGAATAATACAGAAGTAATAAAAATGAAATTAAAAGTCTGTATCGAAAGATTCTTCAATCTGTATATTCAATAAAAAGTGAACCTAACCTAACTTAAAGTCGGTAAAACAGAACAACGGCAGCATTCCCTTAATAGCGTCGATGAAACGGATCGAATTAATTTGGATCCATTTACAAGTGTGAAATTTATATGATTACGGAATTTCTTGCTGGTTCTTCAGATTCGAAAGATCTTTATTCTTCACGCATTCAGTTATCCATCTTCTTGCGATTCCCTCAACTTTCAAATCTTTTTCGTCCCGTTGCAGCCATCTGAAACCTCTACGGCGGATATGACGTGGAATTTTTACGACTGGCGCGCAATTATGCGTTTTTCATCGGGAACGGAGAAATGATGATCGTTTGCGTAATGAGTCCGCGTTACTAATGACCCGTACGTTTGTGATCATGTCGAAAGGACCGGATGCCGCCGGTGGACTCGCCGATCAATCGACGATAGTCGCGACAACCTCGGCAATTACTACACTCGTTTATGGCCTCCCGGTTGACATTTTTCTCGCGTGCGCACGAAATATCATTCGATCGCGATCGTTAATTTCGCGGCGGCTTTGAGCGGGCGATTTCGGGGCAGCGTGACATTTCGAGGAAATAATGTATCGAATGTCATCCTCGTCGTAACAGGCTTTAAAACGCGCCCTCCAGTCAATTACAATAATTCCTCGAGAGTGTTAAAGTCTTCAGGAATTCGCCGATTTGTCCTACATCGACCAGTTTTATCCCGTATAGTTTTATCACAGTCGTATATACAGGGTGTCTGACATAAATAGTAGATTTCGTTATTTGGAGACGATTTTTCCTCAGCAAAAATGTCGAAGAAGCCCATGATGCATGTTTTTTGCATGTTTCCAATTTTTGCCATCATGTATCTGTCTAATTAAACCTTAAATTAGAATTTTATTAAAGTAAATTCTACTTGAAATTAATTGGAGATTGTGGTTTTGTTAATATTTTTATTTCCACAAGGCTTAGTTTCCAAAAATCCTTCATTTTCAACCGCTTATAACTCGAAAATTATTGGTGCCTCGACATTTTGGCTGAGGAAAAATCGTCTCCGAATGATACCAGGAATTTTTCGCGCCTATTTCTCCATATGTAAGTTTCGAGATTAATTTATATATGAAACTTAGTGATGTCAAACCAAGAGATACAGTTCCGAATAATTAATTTTTCGTGCTTTGGCTCTGTTGGCCCATTTAAAAAAAACATCGAATTTATATTCTTAATATTGAGAGCCGATAAAAATATTTCTTTCTGACTATATATATATATATATATATATATATATATATATATGTATATACATTAAAATAAAGATTTCATCGCGCAACGCTATAAAGTGGATGGCCGGTAATTTCCTAAACGACGCCGAGAAGTTTTAGCAAGTTTTTGCGGTAACTAACTACCCTCGCGACATCCGCGTAAAGCCCCAGGATTGCGTCGTCCTCCCGGACGTTACGTCGCCCGTTATCCCGAGGTAACGACACGGTTAATCCGCCCTTTCGAGAAAAAGTGCGGAACGACTTTCAGCCGCTCTTACCGGGAGGAAGAACCAGCGAGAACCTCTTCGAGGCTCTGCAACTTCTCGTGCCCGACGCACGTTCCTCTTCATGTCCAGTAACATTCAGTCTTACAACGCCGACACTCGGCCTCGACACAAGCGCGTGCTTGTACGTTCGGCCCTATCTCTTTCTCTCTCTCTCTCTTCCTCTTTCATGCGCGAGCGTGACATAGGAGTACTTGGAGATATATACGAAGAAGGTATAAGGTAAGTGAGGCTCGTGCCCTGCCCGGTGACTGAACCCACACCGCATTTCAAGTAAGGAGCGCACATCCATGTACCAGCACATAAACACGTACACACACATATATACGGGCTCATCCGCCCGAGACATCATCGGACTCGAAGAGAGAAAGAGAGAAGAACCGTTCGGAGAGAATCTCATCAGTTAAGATATCGACGTACTTTTTGGATGGAAGTATATATATATATATATATATATATATATATATGTGTGCGATGGAGATTTACCGCGCGTACATGGGTGGAGAGAACGGTGGAAGCTACACTCATTAATCGTGTTATTTTGCTATCGCGCTATCGACCCCTAGGCCGTGAGAAGCACGATTATTACCTCGAGAAGTAGGTGCAACGACTGCGAAATTATGTGACGTTAAGAGAGATATTTAGTTTCCCGATGCTTCGTTATTGAATTCACATTAACGTCGAATTTCGAACAAGACTCGAGGAGATCTTGGAGAACTTTTAGTGTTATATTATGTATTCGCTGAAAAAAATGTATTGAGTTCAAATATTGATTTCTGCCTTAGAAATTATTTATTTGAAACCTAATAATATTGATTTGATGCAAAACAGATATTTGTTCGTTTCAAATAATTAATTTGTAAGGCAGTATTGAAATAAATATTTATTAATTCAATAATTTTTTTTTAGTATATTATAAAAATATATTATAAAAGATGTCAAACTATGTAAAATTCTACAGTCATTTTTTAGGTGCAACGACTGTGAAATTATGTGACGTTAAGAGAGATTTTAGTTTCCCGATGTTTCGTTATAGAATTTATATTAACGTCGAATTTCGAACAGTGGAGATCTTGGAGAACTTTTAATATTATATTATATATTCACTAAAAAAAATTGTATTGAATTTAATTATTTATTTCTGCCTTATAATTCATTTATTTGAAACTAATAATATTAATTTGAAAAATATTTATTTGACGTAAAAAAATCTTTTTCAAAACAGATAAATATTTATTTGTTTCAAATAAATGATTTATAAAGCAGTATTGAAATAATTAATGATTTTTTCAGTATATTATAAATATATATCATATAAAATGTCAAACTGTGTAAAATTCTAAAATTAGGTAATTTTTATTTTTTAAGTAAGCTTAAAATTTTTTAAATATTCTTAAAATGTTCCTTATCTTTAAGAACAAAGAAACCGATGTATGCAATTATCAATTCTTGGCTTAGCGTATCTCCGAAGGGTTTGTTTAAGTACCAGGAAGTACGTGGAAGAGTGCGATTGCTATGGAAGAGGGACTCTTCATATGTACGTGCAAGTGTGTGTGTTCTTCGTTCCGGTCTGTCATAAACCTTCTGAGAAGGAGCGTCTTGATTACGAATGTCGTGATTAGGAGAAGTGACATATTCACGACGGTCTAATCGCAGCGTTTGCATTTGCAGAACGCTCGCCATCAGGAATCTGTTACGCGCGTCGAAGAGAAATCAAGAGCAACAACATATTAAAAAGATATCTCATCACGTACCTTGTCTTCGCATGTCTTATGGCAGATGTACTTGCACACTGAAACAAAAAAGATGTAGAAATTATTTTTTCAATCGCGGTTTAATTTTTAAATAATTCTCACAGACGGAATTTTCTCTTAGAATTTATCCTGAAGATCGCGATAAGAATTTTATAAGTTTCTCTGCAGATTAATATTTACCACAATAAAAATAGTAATATTCTATCACAATAAGATATAAAATATATTCGATTAATTTTACTTTATGTAGATATATTAATATTTCTTATTGTTTCAGGGTAAGTTCTAAGAGAAAATTCTCTATCCTGAAAATCATGATAAGAATTTTATAAAAGTTTCTCTGATTAATAATTACCACAATAAAAATAGTAATATTCTACACAATAAGATATAAAATATGTTCGATTAATTTTACTATGTATGAATATTTCTTATTGTGATAAATATAATATATTAATCAGAGAGACTCTTATAAAATTCTTCCAATATCACATTGAATACTTTCAGGGTAAATTCTAAGAAAAAATCTCTTCGCGATAATATGACATCTAATTCTTTTAATAAGATTTATAATAAAATTTTGATCGAATGACAAATAATATAGACGAAGCCCTGATTTAATTCGATTCAATGCAGATCGATGAAAAGCCATCGTTGTATTAAACATCACAATCACGTCTTTGATGTATGAGTTATGTTAATGCACTATCATGCTAATTACTGGTTCGATGCGGACGTCGCTAATTAGGCCGATTTAATCTTCACGCGTGGCGCAGCGCGCGCTTTTTCATTAATCGTAATAGTCACTCGATGTAATCTGAGGCACGCGGTGAAACTTAATAACAGCAATAGTGCTGATGATAATAATAAGAGGAAAAATATCGAGTTTCGACCCCCGCAGCGATGTCGTTTCTAACCGGCACTTTCCCGCCAAGTAGGAGCTTCCGTATCAACGATTGATTCCAGAGTACTACCGACGAGAGAGAGAGAGAACCAGAGCTGTTATACACTTGGTACCCTGAAGGGAACGATGTTATCGACTTACCTCTGCAGCAGGAGGCTTGCTTGATGACCGCCTGGTGGCACAAATGACATGGTCGGGGCTTGCGCAATTGCTTGGTGCGAAACACGTGACACTGCGGTTCAAAATCGCTCTGGAACATAGCAAGAAGAGAGGACCACAAATTATTATAACGATCGCATTTCGGATGATCGAGAGGGAAAAAAAAAAAAGATTGGCGCCAGTTTTTTGCGAGACATCGATCAATTAATCGCGAGAATCTCTCGAGCGATTAATCTTGTTAAGGCGAGGCATTATAAATGGCTGGTCTGTTCGACGGTGGCGCACGATGGCGAAAAAGTGCCCGAAATGAGGTCGCGGATCTCAAGAACAGATTTATATTTAAATATGCATCATTCTAAATATTTATTCTAATATCTATGTAATTTTTTTATTATCTTGTCTGGTTTAATATTTTATTCCGTATGAAAAAGGAGCTACAATCGTGAATCAGTGTTATTACACAACTCCTGCTGTCAAAAATTAATTTTAAATTATCATCAATTTTATATACTTTATCGAGCGTTTGTAATAAAAAGGAACCTAAGAAAAGTAAGAAAAAAAATAAAATAAATTTCACAAAGATGCTACCTGGAATGTTTACATAATAATTTATCCCAGAGATCGCGGATAGATGAATATGATTGAAATTCAAATACCATCATTGATGCGGAAAATTTACTTAGGATGAAAAGCTACAATCGTGTTTCACGACTACGAATCGGTGTTATTACACAACTCCTGCTGTCAAAAATTAATTTTAAATTATCATCAATTTTATATACTTTATCGAGCGTTTGTAATAAAAAGGAACCTAGGAAAAGTAAGAAAAAAATAAAATAAATTTCACAAAGATGCTACCTGAAATGTTTACATAATAATTTATCCCAGAGATCGCGGATAGATGAAAATGATTGAAATTCAAATACCATCATTGATGCGGGAAATTTACTTAGGATGAAAAGCTACAATCGTGTTTCACGACTACGAATCGGTGTTATTACACAACTCCTGCTGTCAAAAATTAATTTTAAATTATCATCAATTTTATATACTTTATCGAGCGTTTGTAATAAAAAGGAACCTAAGAAAAGTAAGAAAAAAAATAAAATAAATTTCACAAAGATGCTACCTGGAATGTTTACATAATAATTTATCCCAGAGATCGCGGATAGATGAAAATGATTGAAATACCAATACCATCATTGATGCGAGAAATTTACTTAGGATGAAACGTCAAAGTGCGGCGCGTGTTTGCGAAAAATATATGCGAGCGATTAATCACATAACAAACCGAGAGGATCCTCCGCTTAATCACCGCTCCGAGGATCCTCATTTTGCGCGCGCGTTTTCGCGGTAATTATAATTATTCTCATGTGTGGTTCTCCTCTGCGGTCTTTCCCGGACGGTCGGCGCATAAATTGAGAAAACAGAACAGCCATTCATTAGAATCGCGTTTATCCTCGAATGCGGACGCTGCCGGCTAAAACGCTCGCCTCCTCTCTATGACTCCGGTATACGACGACGGTCAACCTGTTAACAGTACTTAAGCCGGTGCATCTCTCTCTCCGTCGGGAGAGGCAGTTCGCAAAGTTATGCGCAAATAAGCGCCCGAGGCGCACCGCATCTCCTCCGCAAAGCGCAGCCTCCGATTACGGACACGCGATGCACCGGGTCCCTTCGTCCGGAGAGAGAGATGGATACCTTCGTCTTTTCACCCACGAACGATCAAATCCCAGTACAGAGGTAAAACGCGGATTTGAATATATCCGCGAAGCACGAACGAGTGCGATGCGCAGATCATTTTTAAGTTCCACGTGAAAGAAAATTCATTTTCTTCCTTCTTAAAGGAATTCATATTTTATGGAGCAAAAAAAAAAATATATATATATATGGCGATTTATTTAGGTAACTCATTCAGCCAGATAAGATTATATTTTGGAGACCACTTATGGAAACACAGTTGTAAAAAAATAAATTATGAAAGAAATATATTCATTTACAAATTTTTATCGCTTGCTGCTCGAGTTCTATTACTTAAATATTTGACTCTAAACCAAATTATGTGCATATTATTCTACATAATTTAATAGACAAAATGATGCCAAAATTTCATCTAGATAATTTTATTTAGATAACAGCTGCATTTAAGGCTTGTTACAAAGATGTGTGATGCGGAAAAAATTAGGAGCTTGCGAAAAATCGAGGAATTTCTCATGAACCAGGTGATCCGATAAGTCTGGGACACCCGGTATAGCTTCGTTATAATTTGCAAGAGCTCGCGACTGCATAAACTCACGCACGCACACGCGCATTTTCTTCACTGCGGATATTTAACGGGTTTAATCATCGCACGTGCACCGCAGTGCGGCAATAAAGCGTTTTTTAGCGAGCCGCGTAATTGAGACGCGAGATCCTTGGTTGAAATTTGCGCGACATTCCACGTTATCGATGTATGAATTTTATTGCGTATGGGACGCATTTTTTCTTTTCTTTTTTTTTTTTTTACAAATTCTCTCTCTTTGCACGACCGAGCAAATTATCGGGCCATTAGCGCGCTGCAATATTTCGTAATTATCAGTTTTATCGACGCCGCGAGATTTCAGGCTTACACGTCGTAAATTATTATGTTATACGGACTCGGCGAACAACGGAGAGTCTTCCTTATTGATCATTATACGACGCGATACTCTTCTCATCATCGTAAATATACCTAAGCCACGCGCTTATCCTTTTTACCGAACGATAAAACACACTGTTCTCTCCACTGCATCGTTTTGCTCCGAGTCCTTCGCCAAGTTTGATCTATGGACACCGTGTTTGTCGAAATTACTTCTCTTGGCTGGTCTCTCGTCGTACTACTGTATATCGTCGTGTGCATTTTGTCGTCGTAAAAGTTGATTTACACGACAAAACTGAAACTCGCATACACGTAAACTCCGATGTGAATATATATTTGCTATGCTTTTAATTTTAAATTCGTGTGATTTTTTAGTGCAAGTCTATAATGTAGCGTAATAATTTATTTACTATATATTATATAATTTATTTTATTTTATTTATAATTTATTTATTATATATTAATTAATTTATTATATTTATTAATTTATTTTCATAAAAAAAAAAAGAAACGAAATAATTTAATTTTTTTATTGTTGACATTTTTCAAAAATTTGAATAAATCTCATTCTTTTTTATTACAAATTCTGTATAAAGTTTCTATTGATTTTTCAAATATAGAACATTCGGATATGGCACACTCGAAAGGTAATAATAAGCGTGGCATTAATTATTATCAAGCTGACATAAAACGGTTAATGGCAGTAATCGATGGGGCAAATCCCAGCAGTAATTCAACCGGCTCAAAAGTAATATATCTAATTTATCAGTTAATTATCGGATACATTTGTACGTTACTTTTGAATGGCATTGTAAAATAAAAAGAATAGAGTAACAACACAGATATAATAGTATACATGCTGCACTGTTATAAATATTCTTCAGTGTATAGATATTATATACACGTCTGATATTATATAGTGTATACTAATTGCCAGATTCATTAGTACATCGAGACCTCTGACATCTCTAGATAAAGCACAGCCATTGATCATGCGATACTAATTGATCTTTAATCTTCGCAGCAATTGGCGAAAATTATATGCGAATCTTCCCGATTCACTCCTACAACTTTGAGAATTTCTTCTCAAGATTTTACGCCATCGTATTCTCTTCCTCATTCAATCGAATCTCTAAAGCAATTTAAAAATATATGCAGTTTTTAAATTTTATTTTTTATACTTGAGCAAGCTATATTTTTTAATATACCTACATTTATGTTTAAATTTTTCTATATTATATTAAATTATTTTGACAAGTAAGTTTTATACAAATGATAAAATTTATTTTGTTTTATCATTTGTATAAAACTTACTTGTCAAAAATCGAGCAAAATAATTTAATGTAATATAGAAAGATTTAACCATAAATATATTAAAAAATAAAATGTTCTCTCCCTGACTGACATTTCCATAACAATTAATTTTTCATAATTAGTTGCGTTAATTTGTTTCGCTTTGTTGCAATCGATTTAATTATGTAAATAGCTTAATTTTCTCTTCGACAAAAACTCGTATAATTAGATGAATTATTCGCGCAGGTTAAACGCACACGCGTATTTTTTACTCCGCAATCAAGATAGGATTTTTCTCCCTTGCGATGCACGCGAATAAACGAGATGGCACGGCGAGATTTCGTTTATAACGAGCAGGCTGATTTAGGATCGCATCACGGATAATCCACCTTGCCGCGGGTGGATAATAACTATATTTCATAATAGATTCGGTGAATCATGCAACGATATATCATGTAACGTGTAATTTCAACGTTGCGCACGTTGTTCAATGGACGCAATACGCATATAAAATTGTGCGGTCTAGTATAATTTGTGATAAATGCATGTACGACCATTCAGTTCTCTCATTTTAATAAATCCAAAACGCGTTTAATAAATCGAATACCGTTCTAGCTTTAAGCGCCTCTTGTTCCAATAAATCTAGAGTGTCATTTCGCAATTTGATAATAGATTGCGAGCAATACTACAATTTTAATGATTAATTGTATCATCTGATAAATTTGTCTCTCATGCGTGATTATATAATATATTATTATAGAAATAAAATTTTTATATATATATGACAATATTTTTGTAATAAGAAAAAATTAATAGAAGAAAAATGGATCAAACAGTTAATATTATTTTCAATAAAAAATATATTTATTATCAATATAAAGAAATAAAAGTATAATGAATACTGAAGCATTTCATTAACATAATGTTAATTAATCAATAATATTTTTGCTTTTTATGTAACGATAAATTTTCACAAATGTCTGCATTTTAACTCGACTCAAGAAAGTGTATAATTTTTTTAATTGCAATCAGTTACGATAAATGTATTGATCTACTAAGACACAACTCTCGAAGATATCCCGCTGCGCGCACTTAAGCTGTCTCCAGTAGAGTTATCATGTTCTAATTAAGAAGTATAACCAGTTTTATGAAAATAAAAAAACTAAAGATGGGAAACAGAA